TCAAAGAAATTGAAGAAGTAACAAAAAGACTACCAACTAAGAAAAGTCCAGGTCCCCACAGATTCACTACCAAATTCTACAAGAACTTTAGGGAAGACTTAATGCCAATATTCCTCAAACTCTTTAATGAAACAAAGGGAAGCAATAGTCCCAAAGTCATTCCAGGAAGCAAGCTTCACCCTGACACCAAAATCAGAAAAAGACCCAACTAAAAAAGAAAACTACAGGCCAATCTCTTTAATGAACATAAGTAGAAAACTCCCTAATAAGACACTGGTAAAAGAAAAAAAAAAAAAAAAAGACACTGGTAAAACAGAACACAGCAAATCATTAAAAAGATCATACCCCACGATCTGGTAAGATTCATTCCAGGGATGCAGGGATGGTTCAACATATGCAAATTAATAAATGTAATACACCATGTTAACAGAAGCAAGTAGAAAAATTACATGATCATCTCAATAGATGCAGAAAAAGCATTTGACAAAATCCAACATCCATTTATGATGAAAACTTTAAAGAAAACAAGGAAAGTCTTTATCGCAATCTGACAAATGCTATCTATGACAAACCAATGGCCAACATCATACAAAATGAAAAGAAACTGAAAGATTTCCTTCTAAAATCAGGAACAAGACAAGGATGTCCACTATCACCCCTGTTCAGTACAGTCCTCAAACCATTAACCAGATCAATTCTCAATTAGACAAGAGAAATAAATAAAAGGAATATGGATAGGAAAGGAAGAAGTTGAATTATCATTATATGCAGATGACATAATCCTCTACATATAAGACCCCAAAAATTCCAGCAAAAGACTCCTAGAATTAATAACCAAATTCAGTAGCATAGTAGGATACAAAGTCAGCACTCAAAGATCAATAGCATTCTTGTACACCAACAACAAACTTTCCAAGAAAGAAATCAGGGGAAAAAATAACTTTTGCAATAGTGTCAGAAAAAATGAAATACTTAAGAACTAACTCAACTGTTATGGCCTGTATATAGATGTCCCCTCAAAGCCTCATGAGCTCATAGAGGGTGCTTTGCAGAGATGGCTGGATCTAGGATATGTGAACATGGATTAAAGTTGTATGAATATGGATTAAGGGTATGATAACTAATTAGTCTGCTGTTTGGTTAAACATAGTTCTGGGTGTGAATGATGGGAAGACCCATCCTGGGGGTGGATGGCACTACCCAAAAGGCTTGTAGTCTGGATGGAATAAAGGAGAAAGGGAGGCTTGCGGTTTGCTACCTCCTGCCTGCTTTGCCATGGACCATTGCTCCTCTATGGTGCCCTTCTATAATGCCTGCCTTTGAGCCACTTGACTATGGACTGAAACCTCTACAAACTGTGAGCAAAAATAAACCATTTCTCCACTAACATACAGGTGCTGGGTATTTTGTCTCAACAGTGAGGAAATTAAGACACTAACCAAAGAAAGTGAAAGTCCTCTACAATGAAAACTATAGAACCCTGAAGTAGAAGATAGAAAATGCTATCAGAAAATTGAAAGATATCCCTATTCCTAGATAAGCAGAATCAACTCAAAATGGCCATACTTCCAAAACTGTTATACAATTTATTGTAATCCCAATCAAAGTATTAATAGCATTTCTCACACAACTAGAGAAAGCAATCTTAAAATTCATATGGAAACAGAAGAGAACTAGAAAAGCAAAAGCAATTCTTAGCAATAAGGGCAAAGTAGGGGACACCCCAATCCCAAACTTCAAGTTATACTACAAAGCTATAGTGCTAAAAACAGCATGTTACTGGGGGAAAACAGATCTGTAAATCAATGGAACAGAACAGAGGAGGCCGAAACATTAGGCAAACTCAGCTACCTTATCTTTGACAAAGGGGCCAAATATTTTCACTGGAAGAAAGCCAGCCTCTTTAACAAATAGTACTAGGAAAACTGGCCATCCACATGCCACAGTTGAACCTAGACCTGTATTTCTCACCATACACTAAACTAAAATCAAAATGCATCAAAGATAGAAATATTAAAACAGAAACAATCTGCTAGAAGATAAAATAGGTAAAGGTCTTGAAGACATAGGTGTAGGAAAAGACTTTCTGAACAGAACCCCAGTTGCACAAGAAATAATACCAAGATTCAACAATGGGAACACACCAAAACAACAAAATGAAACAAAAGCTTCTGTACAACAAAGGAAACCATCTACAGAATGACAAGACAGCCTACAGAGTGGGAAATAAAATTTGTCAGCTACTCCTTGAAGGACTAGCATCTTACAGAAACTCAAAAAACTAGGTCCCCCCCAAATTTAAAGACCCAATCACAAAGGGCATCTGAAATCAACAGACACTATTTAAGTGAAGAAGTACAAAAGGCCAATAAGCATATGAAAAAAATGTTCAGCATTGGTGGCCATTCAAAAAATGCAAATTAAAACAACATTGAGATTCTACGACACTCTAGAAAGAATGGTTAGCATCAAGAAATTAACCAATAACAAATGCTGGAGAGGCTTTGGGGGAAAAAAACCCTTCTTCATTGTTGGCTGGAGTATAAACTGTATGGAAATCAGTAAAAGGATTCCTCAAAAAACTAAAACTAGAAATTCCACTTGATCCAGCTAGTCCCCTTCTAGGTATTTTCCCCGAAGAGTTAAAGAGTCATACTGTGGTGACATATGCATACTCATGTTTATAGCAGCACAATCCTGCCAAATCTTGGAAACAGCCTACACATCCATCAACAGATAAATGGATAAATAAAAGGTAGTATTTATACACAATAGAGTACTACTCTGCCATAAAGAAGGATAAATTTGAGTCATCTGTAGGAAAATGTATGCAACCTTGAGACCATAATGTTAAGTGAAGTAAATTGGTCACATAACCTTAAATATTGCACTGTTTCTCTCATATGAGAAATTCAACCTATAAATAAAGTACAAAATATAAGACCGACAATAGGAAAAAAGGAGAGAGAAAAAAGTTATTGTGATCCAGCGCGGATAATGTATATAAAAGTGTACCTTGATTTAGCATACATGCCTTGTGTCTTTTGTATTTACTTTTCCATTAGTCTAGCTGTTAACCTATATGTATGATAATTACCTTTATAAGGATTTATTAGATAAATAAATGAACCTAATGCTGGCAAAAAATGGGGTGGAGGGGAAGAGGAAAAAAGAACTGAGATGTGTTATGTACATGTACCAGTTCCTCACAATGAATGTAATCACTACGTACTGCAAACATGTACTAATAAAAATGAAAAATAGAAAAAGAAAGAAAGAAAGAAAGAAAGAAAGAAAGAAAGAAAGAAAAAAGAAAAAGAAAGAAAGAAAGAAAAAGAAGAGTAGCCACAGGAAAGCAAACCTAAGGTTATGTCAGGTTGGCCTAACAAGGACTTGGAGATTACTTCTTCAAAAAGCATGACTGGGGTTTGGGGTGCGACAATGGTAAAGCACATGCATTGAGATCATGGGTTCTACATTCGGCACCCCGCCTAAAAAAAAAAGTATGATTGTGAAGAGAAGAGAGGATAGCACATGGAAAGTGACAGCTGGCGGGTTTTCAAGCTAAAGCTAGAAATGAGCTGAGTTTGTTGTGTACAAGATAACAGTAGCACATATTAAAGGGAGCTGTGCCCAAGGGGCAAGGGGGCTAGGAAAAGTCAGCTAGATGAGATTTTTTTTTCTCGAGGTACTGGAGATTGAAAGCAGAGCCACATGCATGCTAGACAAGTGCTCTACTACTGAGCTACATCCCCAACTCTTTTTACCTTATTTTGAAACAGGGTCTTGCTAAATTGTAAACTTGTAATCTTTCTCTCTCAGCTTCCCAAATAGCTGGGATTAAAATCAGGCATGTACCATCACATCCAGCTGTGAAAGGGAGCAGGCACTTTTCTACTCTAGCAGGAGAAGGGGGACTGTGAGTCAGTGGTTTGCATACTTGAATTTAGAGGTTCCTAGACCTTACTCCCAGAGTTTCTAATTTTGCAGGTCTCAGGTTGGTCTGAGAACTGCCTCTCTAACAAGTTCCCAAGTGATGCTGCTGGTCCTAGGACCTCCCTTGGAGAACCAATGGTAAGAAAATGTGTAGATAAGGTGGCAGAAACTTGAGGAAGTTTCCAGATTCTGTCTTTTAGACTTTCTCCGGGAAATCATGAGGTCATATGCTGAAATGAAAGAGGGTAGTGGTGAAATGAAAAACGTGAAAAGAGTAAATACTACTCCAAAGCCTGCTCACCAGCCACATACATTCCTCACAGAACCTAGCAAGTACAGGCCAGGCTCCCAAAAGTAATTGCTCATGTTTATTTGCATACAGACCAACCATTAACTGAATCTGCTAGCTCATGCCTGCACCTAACTAAACATTAGCCTAAAGCTCCACCCAGTGTTGGAAAGTGAGGTCAGGATGCAGAGAGGAGGGAAGGCTAGAGTTTGGAGGAAATGATTCCAAGTCCTTCCATTCTTCCTTAAATTCCTGATTTCTAGCTTTCCCTCATGCTCTCAGAACTGAGGTGCCATAATATGTCTCAGGTGAAAGACTCGCTGGCCCCTCCTGAGATCTTCTGGTTCCAGGTACCTCACAGGCCTTCATGTGCTCACTCCGCCACTCTTCTCGGATCTTGTCCAGTGCGTTGATGTGCTGCATGTACGCTTTGTCTACAATGCAAGAAAAAGCCTCAATTCAGAGACTAGATCATTGGCTCATCAGAGTTGTGATGAGTTCACAAGGCCTTCAACAGCCACGAGGTGGCTGTCACTTTCCATGAACCAAGCACGAAGCAAGAAGTGCCTCAAGGAAGAAGTGAGAAAAGCTGAGAAAAACCTCGGCCTGGGTTTTCTTTATCTACTTCTGCCTCAGTAGCTCCCGTCCCTTTTCATTTTATGGAAAATTCTCCAATGAGAGATGCAACAGAACTGCCTTGAGTGCTAAAGCAACACCAAGATAATAAGTCTTTCAGCAAATAATTTTTTATTTATAAATATTTTCTGTTAATTTTTTTTGACACAAGATCTTGCTATGCAGTTCAGGTTGGCCTTGAACTCATTATGAAGCCCAGACTGGCCTCAAACTTGCAGCGATCCTCCTACCTCAGCTCCCTGAGTGCTGGGATTACAGGTGTGTGCCACCATGCCCAGCTTTTTTCCTTTGAATTTGTACAAACCAATATACTTTGGTTTTTTTATTTAGAGGCTTCCTAAGCGATGGCCTTCACAAGAGGCTTGTTTCTGGGAATTAGGAAGCTTCACAACTTCTGGTTTGGTTTTGGATTTCAGGGATGACAAGATGTTGCACCTCAGCTGTTTCTTTCACAGTGGTTGAGCGGGCTGCAAGGGCTGAAAGAGTCTTTTAAACAGATAGCCACAAAAACGCAGATCAATTCCAAAGCAACACCCCCAGGACTCCACTCCCACTGAACCCTTCCACTTAAGGCAGCAAGACCTCCACAGGCAGCAGCCAGAACCTGCCATCTCTTGCACTGCCTCCCACTTAGAAGGATTCTTGTATACTTTCCCTTCCTCCCTCCTCTCCCTTCCTTCCCTCTTCTCTCTTCTTTACCTCCCTTCTAACATCTTGTTGACCCTACTGTAAATACATATATTCTTTATTGTAAAGCTACTTTTCTCAGAGACACACAGGATAATGTACCACTGACCCTCCCCATCCAGAGGAACAGCCCCCTCACCTGAGTCCTCTACTGCAGTCTTTGAAGTGGCCAGCTTCACAAAAAGCTGTGGAGACAAAAAAGAACAGCACTCAAGGACGCTGGGCCCGGCTTCCACAGAGAAGCACATGTAAAAGCAATGAGTATGAAGAAACAAGGTCTTGTTGAAGTTGCATCTACTTTTCCCTCATGAGCAAATCACTCAGTTTGCCCTTTAATCTTCTCATCATTAGAAAACGGCCATAAACATAATGCCTTATGTCTTACTCCTGCCCTCTGGTTGCTGACAAACTTACGTCAAGATTTTATAAAGTTAAGTTTCCAATCTGCCCAAGCAAGAGGCAACAAATAAAAGAGCTGTGTTTTGAAAAAGATGAAAAAAAAAATCAGATCTCTTATGCTACCCTTTGCTCCCCATGACCACACTTTCCAGTGCTTTCCCCAACCCTAAAAATGTGACAATGTTTTTTAAAGACTATTAGTTGTTTTTAACCTGACAAATTTAAATCCCAATCTTTCACACTGTCAGCTCTTCTAGGTACCTTTTCTTGTTGCTTCGTGTTCACCACATTGGCACTCCGGTGGACAGCTTGCTCTGCCTCATCTTTGTCCCGGCATTTCTGCTCATAGGTCTTCTTTGCCTTTGTTGTTACAAAGAGAGGGCCGAGACAAGTGATCGGGTTATAACTCTGGAAAGCAGCCGCCTTAGCCCTCTAAGCCCAGCAGAAACGGGACACTCTGGTTAGGAGACCTTGGACTCTCAAAAGGCAGATGCTCGTTCTTGTCAGTCTCTGAAATGTCTCTCTGGCTCTAGCCCTCTCCCAAATTAGGGAGAGTGGCAACTTCATCACAGAAGTAATAACTCCAGTTTAGTAACACAACATACAGGAGCTTTAAAAATTGACTGAACACAAGATTAAATTTGAAATAGGCAAAATTAAAATGTGTGCAGAACTCCATGAAACTCCATGATATATAATCCAACCCTTATGTAGCAATCATTATTCTCAGAATTTATGTGCAATCATTGGTCACTGGTACCAACACATTCTAATTATGCCTCACTATTCTAATGTGCCTGGCCATGACTATTGAGGGGGGGACCAAAGACATCATTTCTTTTACCTTAGTATAGTCATGTTCCTTTTTGATTTAAAGAAAGTTGTTTTAAGTAGTTTAAACATAGGCCATCCCTACTTTGTATCAAAATAAAAACTGAAAGGTCTAAGGATGAATCACAGTAGTTTGATCCCCGGTAACATATGCATAAAAACAAAAAAACAGGTAATAGTGCCACCATTACCACTAATATACAAACAGTTCACAAACTATAATCATTAGTGAATCAAGGAAATAATTTTGTTTCAACTATGGAAACAAAGCCTTGACTTGCCTAAACAAAGCCAAACTGGTGACCCCAAAAATTAGCTAATAAATAAAAATGGTGGGAAAACTGCTTGACTAAGAAGGAAGACACTCCATTTCTACTCTTTGTTTGGCTGGTTTCTCTGGGGCTGTCTATAACCAGAGAGTAAGTGCTAAACCTGAGGGCATATGTTCAAATCAAGGGCATCAGTTCAAATCCTAGCTCCATCATTGTCTAGATGTTCTTCAATAAGCTATTTAGCCTCTCTGGGCCTCAGTTTCTCCCTCTGCACAGTAAGAGTTTTATACATATAAATGCGTATAATATATATTTGTTCTCAGGTGTCTATAAAAGTAAAAGCAGATATAAGTGTAGTTCTATAGCGATTACACATTTATAAACAAAATTGTGTCTAGAAATGGAATTCAACCCACAAAACCCATAAAATTAAAATTAATAATAACTTTTTAAAATAAAGTATCCTTTGTAGACAATGGTTTGTGCTTACTGAGTATTTCATGTGCCTCCCTACACTACTCAGCACCCTCTGCATTTCAGTTAGGGTTAGTCTTTCAGTAAAGAAGCTTACAAGTCTCTCTATATTCTGTACACATAAAGAAATATGAGTTCATAATTTTTCATAAGAGAAAGAACATAAGATATTCATGTAACAAGGTCCATGCAATAATTCTTTTCAAGCAACAATATGTTGGAAACATTTCTCTACATCAAGCATGATCCCTGTAAATCAAAACTTTCAATGGTTGTAAAATGTACATATGTCTTAAATAGGTATATTTGCCATAATTTTCTTAGTCAGCTCTCTAACGGTGGATATTCAGCTTGTTTCTCATTTTTTAGGCATACCAATACACTAATTTTATTTTGAGTACTATGTGATATACACAGGAAAAATTCTTAAAAATGTAATTATCTAGCACAAAAGCATCTATACATCAGACTTCCTTCCAAAATAGTTGCACTGATTTATACTCCCACCAATATTATATGAAATTACTTACTTCCTCATGCTCTCACCAACACCAAGTTTAGTCAGTATTTTTAATTGTATCTAACACGGAGGAGAAAAATGCTAGTATACTGTTTTATTTGCATGTCTTTCATTATTACTAAAGTAGTTTCAGGGCTTGAGTAAGTAGTCTATAAATTATTACATCCCCAAAACACTTGTTTTGAGTACCGTATCTCTGATACTATATTGTATTATATTTGATTTCATGTTTGGCTTCTCCATATATTGCAAACTTTTAAAAGGTAAGAAATAGTGGTTTATCTTTCCTATTTTATGTCTTTTGTTATTTTTTTATTGGACCATTTTTAAATTCAATTGACTTTTTAAAAGCTCAGTGTGCATTAGGACCACTAGCCAGGTACAAGATATGTGTGTCACAAATATTTTTCCAAGTGTTTCATCTATCACAGAAGTATATATGAGGTGGCGAGGCGTGGTGGTGCACGCCTGTAATCCCAGCACTCAGGAGGCTGAGGCAGAAGGATCACTGTGAGTTCAAGACCAGCCTGGGCTACAAAGTGAGCTTATGGTCAGCCTGAACTGCATAGTGAGAGCCTGTCTCAAAAAGACAGGGAAAAAAAAAAGTATATATGAGGTGATAATATTTTTAACTACAAAGAAATCTTAAACCAGGTATGGTGGTACACACTTGTCATCCCTTCACCTGGGAGGTGAAGGCAGGAGGATTGCAAGTTCAAGCCCAGGCTGGGCAACTTAGCCACTTTGCAAGAACTTTTCACAAAACAACAACAACAAAAAAGGGCTGGGGACATAGTTCAATGTGCAGGCCCTGGGTTCAATCCTCAGTATCAAAGAAAAAAGCCTTCAATTTTTATCCAAGTTACTAGTTCTTTGCCTATTCATTTTTTAAAAATATGACATGTTAAGCAGTTTTTCTCTGTTCCAACACAGTCCTTATAATTGTATTTTTAAAGACTACCTAACATATTTAACCTTTCTCCAATTGTCAGTTACTAAGTCATCCACAATGCTCATTATTGAATATGTTCATGCCTTTGTTGTTCATATTTTGTATGATTCCTGAAGACAGAGTCTTAGAATCTTAACCTAAGATTGATGGGGTATTCATGTTACAGCAGTATAATCCTTAATAGGTAAATCTTGGAAGCAGCCTATTAACAGATGACTAGATAATGAAGATGTACATGTATGTATAGCAGCCATAAAGAAGAATAAATTTGAGTTATTTGTAGAAAAATGGAAGCACCTAGGGACCATAATGCTGAGTAAAATCAGTCAGACACACAAACTTAAATATCACATGGTTTCTCTTATATGAGAAACCTGAAGTATAAACAATGTAAAGAGTAAAATAAGAAATAGATGATAGGAAATCCGGGCCAAAATGACGCAGTACCAGACCTGGGAGGAGTTCAGTACTGTGGCAGAGAAGCTCTACCTCGCAGAACCGATGAAGGCCAGAGTAGGCAAGCCACTGGGAATTTGTGTATTGAAGTAACAGATGACTTAGTTTGTTTGGTGTACAGAACAGATCAAGCTCAAGATGTGAACAAGATTGAGAAGTTCCAGTCAGCTGATGCGACTTATGGTAGCCATGGAGTCTAAAATGTTACCATGGAAACAGACTGACAGTTTGAAATGACTGAAATGAAGATTCTGTACTTTTTGTAAGAGGTAAATATCTTTTGAAATTGATAAAGTATTGGAACAGAAAATACTTTATGTAACTAGGTGGGCTATTCAAAAGTCAAGAGATAGTTTTTTGTATTTTCTTTTTAATATTTATCTTAGAGCTCTAGGAATATAAATGCTTTCAGTTAGAGAACCATTATTTTTTGGAAATTGAACAAGAAATGCATCTATCTTAGAAACTTTCTGTAGAAACTATTTGAGGTTGGGCAGAATGTATAATTATTTCTCTGGTAAATATGTATCAGTAATTTTAAAATAAAATACCAAGAAAAGCCAGTTCTTACATTTAGTTTATCTGCATATAAGAGAAAGTTAAATGTAACCATTTCGGTGGATTGTTATATTTCTTTTGGGGCATAAACTTTGCACTATTAATACACAATAAAAGAACAATAAATATATATGGTAACTAGGGAAAAAAAAGGAATAGATGATAGGAAACAGAGGGGTAGATGTTTTATACAGGAGAAGGGGATCCAGAGATGGAGGGAAAGGAGGGGAAGGGGAAATAAAAAGGACTAACATGCAGTATGTATATTGTATCAACTTTCCACAGTGAATATATTCATTATATATCACAAATGTATACTAATAAAAATGTAATTAAAATTAAATTTTTAAAAAGATTGATGGGGTATGATCACATTTATAGCACCAAAAAGATACTTCAAAATGTCCTTTAGAAAGGCTTCCCAGGCTTCTGGGAAGATGGAACAGCTGTACTTTTCCCAATTCCTCTACATTAGTACAATTAAAAACCCTAAACATTATGCATAAAACAAAAATAAGATTCTGAAGATTTCTCAAGATGGAAGAAAGATGTTAAAATTATACTGCAAAAACTTTAGAGCAGCTACTCTAAGAGTATTCAGCAAGCATTTACATACTTAAAACAAATGAAAAATATAGTATTTGCAAAGAAATACAAAAGCTCAGCAAAGAAAGAGAGAATATAAATAATAAAGTAGAAATTTTAGAACTGAAAAGTGTAACCAAAATAAAAAATTTCAATGGATGAATTCAAAAGAATGGAAGAGACAGAAGGATCAGTGAGCTAAAAAAAAATAAATAAATAAGCAGTTGCTGGGCACAGTGGTACGGATTTATAATCCCCAGGTACTCAGGAGGCTGAAGCAGGATTGTGAGTTCAAGGTGAGGCTGGGGAACAAAATTTTGTCTTTAAAAAAAAAAAACTACCTAATATGAACAGAGATAAATAAGCTAAAATATAAGGACAAAAGAAAAGATGTAACATTATTAGAAGCCATGGAGACCATGTGAAAGTTGCACAATTTATTTCAAGTGCTGAAAGAAAAGAACTGTAAACACACAATTTCATATCCAAGTAGAGCATGGTAGTGCACACCTCTAATCCCAGTACTCGGAAGGCTGAGGCAGGAGGATTGTTGTGAGTTCAAGATCAACTTGGGCTACATAGTGAGTTTAAGATCAGCCTGAACTACAAGACCCTGTCTCAAACAAAAAAAAACAAAACAGAAACCTTGGACTAGTAGAAGGAAAATAAAAGAGTGTGACAAACAAAAAAATGAGTAAATGTAGTAGCTCTTCTTTCTCCTATCAAATTTTCTAAATTATTTTTGACAAAAGAAGGAAAAAATATAATACTAATATAGCTCTAAATATAAGTAGAGGAAATAATTAAGAAAATTATGTGTATATTTTGATAAGCCTGTCTCTCTGTGCAAAAGCTTGCCCCAGGCTGCTCAAAACCTAAAAGGTCTCGGGGGAAAATCATATATTCACCAACACATTTTGTGTACTACACTGACACTGACATTATCCCCTATTAATCAACTGTTTTGAGATAATATCTATCAAAGAAAAATCCAGCTCAGCAGGACGGACTGTACACGTCATCAACAGTGGCGACACTTTCATATCATGTCACAGTCAGAGTATCGTAATACACATCCATACAAAGAGGAAGTCATAAATGCTCTCAGAGTAAAATTTGTTGTATTCACAGCTAGCAGATCCATGAGAAGCTAGAATGAGATGCACAACAACTTGCCTTACCTCTATCTTGCCAAGTATTTTTAATAAGCTACTTAAAGGAAAGAGGACTTTTACAATTTCCAGTTATCTTAAAGCAGGAAAGAGTCACTCAGTAAGAGGTAAACAATCAAGATTCAAAATAGCCACAGGATAAAGGCTCAAGTACAAAATATATGGCATAGTGCCATACACATATTTTTGCATCTTGGCCTTAAACATTTAAATTGACTTGCTTTATTTTCCCAGGTTATCAGAAAGATAACACCATTGCATTTTCAATATCTGATTTCATCTTCAAGCCTTCCAAGGCCTTAAAAAGAAAAACCAAATCACTAAAGATTACTTTCCCTAAAACACTACACTGATAAATAATAACACTGTTGACATGCTATTTGAGTAGGAACATGCTCAAACACTGCAGAGTATTCCTGAAAATGTCCCTAATGCCCACTTCCAGAAAAAAAAGGCAATAAAGCATGACTCACCTCCATGGTTTTCTTGAACTGTAAGTTCCTTTGTTTATGGGCAGCATCCATTACAAGCTCTGTCTGTAAAGGGAGCACAAGTGCTATTAGTGAAATTATTTCTTTTTTTGCAATGCTAGGGATCAAACTCAGGGCCTCACGCATGCTAAGCTACCAACTGAGTTGCACAAACAGCCCAGAAATTATTATTAATACCAGTTTATCTTGAGAGCTAAGTGTTCAACATGAATTATTGCACTGAGTCATCACACCATCTGGAAAGCAGTTGTGCTATTTACTACCCTCATTTCACAAATGAGGAAGCTGCAGAACCCAGAGGCCAAGCAATGTGCCCAAGGCCAAAGGGCTAGTCAGTGATGGTGCCCATCTTTGGCCTCAGGCAGTCAGACTTTAAAGCCAGAAAACTCAGGCACCTTGGAGACCCACTGATCACCTTAGAACATTCTCTTCACTAAATCTGAAATCAAGAAACTTTGGTTTCAAAGGGGAATTTTCAAATTTTTGTTAAAGCACATTTGTATTTAAAAGAGGTCTTTATTCTGTAAGCTTATGTTAAATTAGGGACATAAACATTTACTTCTGTAGCTCATCAATGACACATGTTTCACCAGTAAAGAGCCCAGGAAATATGAGGGGGAAAAAATGTTTGTAGGACTGTTAAGAGATGCTGCTCTCCTACTCTTTACACCACCTAACTCAGCCGAGATAAATTCCAGTGAGTTCACTTGGTAGCAATTTCCCTGGGATTATTAAGTTTTTGTCTATCACCATAACATACAGAGATGGATTTTCAAGATACTTGGAGGGAATACTTGAGATGGTCTCACTTCAAATATAAGCTTGTGAGGTACATGAAATTCCCTTGGGAGTGCCACAATGGCCCACACAGAACTCATCATTTATCTTCAAGCCCAGATGAAAGAGATGTACCAAAAGGTGACCATTCACTGGTAATGGGGAGGACAGCATAGATGCAGAAGAGACAGTTGGAGCCCCACATGGAAGAACACACAGTAGATCCTTGCCATAGCAGGCAGGGAGCTGTGGGCTTATGTGAGCAACTATGTCCTTCTGCCAGGAGGAGGAGCAAGAAAGCAGTAGCCAACTCTAACCTGACAAGCATGACCCCTGAGGTCCAAGAAGTGATACACTGTATGTGCTCACTGCCACTCAGTGACACCAGGTCCACCTCTGTCTGCTACACTGCCTCATCTCCCCATGTCAGTGTTCACTTATAGGGTGATGCTATTCATGTTGACCCCAATGAATCAAAGGTTCTCTTTCATGTCTTTTAGGGGAAGGTCTCTTCTAGGACTCAGCATTTCTGCTTAGACCAAATCCAGTGGAAATATGGTCGTATTACTGACAACCCAAAGCGTGCAAAACACAATCATCTCTGCTATAGAGTGGGAGAAGCAAAATGGAGAGGGAAAGGAGAAGAAATTTACAAATGACCCACATACCCCTCAGGTAAATTATTGAAATGACTGCTTTGTGGCCCATTTTCCACCTATCTTCCCTCAGGATGTATTCTCAAAATGGGAAGCATTAATGTTAGTTACAGAGGAGGCTCCCTGCTCAGCAGATGGCTCTTTCCATAAGCATCACAAAGATCTCCGTGACCATCCTCATCTTAGCTAAAACACAACGATGTAGGCACTACAGGACAGAATGACTGACCATGTGCTACCTTTATCATGCTAAGGACATTTCTGGGCTGGATAAGAAATCTTAGCATCCTCAAACATTAAGACTCCTGACAATGAGACCCAAAGAGCCTTCCCTACCCTCCCAGCTCCCAGAGATAAGGTAAGACCCTCTCACTGCTTCTCATAATAGCCTTTCACTCTGCTGGCCTTACCATTAACATTATTTCTTCCAGGAGCCTCCCCTGGTCCAATGGATGAGAGAATGTGCTCCCACTGTGTGTTCAGATGGCACCTTGCTTTCCCCTGCATCATATAGGTCTCATCATGCTTTATTGTGAATCTGTGTCACACCAGCCTGTCTGGACATGCTCTTTGCTCAATGACAGAAGGATAACCATGTCCATCTTGGTGTCCACCCTCAGAAAATGTTAGTTGTAAGTGTGAGCAGCCATAGATTTCTTACCAGCCATTCACCCACACCTTTCCCATGCCCGTGTTCTAAAATAAACCAACTATGGTTTTCTTTGATAAGTGGAAATGGCTTAATTTCCAAGAAGTGGAAGACCAAAGCGTGCAGAGTTTGACCATTAAAAATGAGAAGTTAGCATTTACATCTTTTCCCTAAAGTTTAATTTAAAACAAAATTAAATACAGAAGTGGTGCAACTCCAGAGTTCATTATAACTGAAGAAATTACAAAATGATTGATAAATTTTGGACTTTTCAAAGCCCTTAACATATTTCCCTGCTGTACAGGGAACTTAACAGCAGCAAGCTGACATAGGCTACTCTACTGCATAAGGGAATTCAGAACTTGTTTAACTGATACGTCACAATTTGGTCTGTGCAACTTGTTAGAAGGGGAAGTTTCAGAAACCTGGTTTTTTTGTTTGTTTGGTTTGGTTTGGGATTTTTTTGTCTTTTTGAGACAGGGTCTCACTATGTAGTTCAGGCTGGTCTTGAGTTCACTTTGTAGCCCAGACTGGTCTTGAACTCACAACAATCCTCCTGCCTTAGCCACCCGCATGCTGGGATTACAGGCATGAGCCACCATGCCTGGCTTACAAACCTAGTTAAAAAAAAAACTCTCCCTGAAAAGGCCAGAGCTACCAGAGACATTTAAAAACAAGAGGAAATGATTCTCCTCCCTTCATAATGGAAGTCATGTGCATAGGTCCTGGTTGCCTAAGACACTAACTTTTGAAAAATTGAAATTCCCCTAGAGAGGTGAGCAGGCCTGGCCATGTCAGCATAAAGTTGTGTCTGACCATTCAATGGGTGTAACATGAATGCTATTTCTGCTCATAAAAAAAATCTTTGTGCCAGATGCACTCCTCTGGCGTGACAATGGAGAAAATGTGTGCAACTGCTTGATACAATATTCCTTAAACGTTCCTATCTGCCTTTCCTTCCTAGTAAGAGGTACAGAACAAGTACAGGCTGTGAATTGGGAAGAGGTCAGGGGATGCTAAAAGTAGGTCATGACATGACAATAAATGAAAGGTAGGGACGCTAATAGGAGGCTACTGCCCAAGTCAGGTGTTATGGCTTGTATCTAGATGTCCCCCAAAGCCTTATGTGGTTATACGTGGAGCTTTTGGTGGTAGCTGGCTCTAGTGTGTGATGCTGGGTTTCAGGATGTGACATTGGGCTTGATTCATGGTGCAATACTAGGATTGTGGGTGTGAGTGCTACCCACCCTAAGGGCAAGTAGCCTGAATAAAATGTAAGGGACACAGAAGGCTGCTGTGGTCGTTGTTTACCACTTGTCACTTGTCACTTGCTGCTTGCTGCCTTCTGCCTGTCTGCTGTGTGATGTCCCTCTGCCATGCCACCCTGCCCTGGCACCAGCCAACTATGAATTGAAACTGTGAGCCAAATAAATCCTTCCTCCCTTAACTTTGGGTGCTGAGTATTTTGTCTCAGCAATGAGAAAAATAAATAAACATTGGGCATAGTGGCACATGCCTATCATCCCAGTACTTTTGGAGGCTAAATTAGGAAGATCCCAAGTTCAAGCTCAGCTTGGGCAACTAAGTAACTTAGTGAAAACTTATCTAAACATTAAACATTAAGAAGGGCTGGTGATGTAGGTCACTGTGAAGGCCATGTATTCAGTCCCAATACACACACACACACACACACACACACACACACACAGCTGTTGTCCACACCAGATATCAGTGGCTACCAAAGAAACCACTCCCTGACTCCAACTTAGAACCACAGGCAAAGTTGCCAAGTTTGATGTAAGGGTACAGTCAGCTTTAATTGTTGGCTGTTTGTTAGACATACACCCTGCAAATAACCTCTGGGCACTAAAGAGCCAGGATGCAGAAAGGGTCCCAAAGGGACCTCCAAGAAAGGTGAGTCACCAGAAGTCCACACAGAGCTGACCTAGGAGACCTGGGCAGAAATCTTGTGGTGCCACATAAAGAAGACTTTGTGCTCCAGGTTTCCAGTCTTAAAGCCTGGGTACAGAAGGAAATTCTGGAAGCACCTTAGTTGGCTACAGGGTAAAGCTAAATATACAAGTCTTTCGGGGACAAAATGGAAAGGAGTCAGAATTGTGGCTGGTCCAATCTAAGTAATACTTTGTTATGAGCATAGAGTTATTTTTCTGATCCCTATAACTTCCCAAATATTTGTCGGTTTTATAAACTGTTGTTTACTCTCATGTCCTTCCATGTAGTTAGAGTAAAGCCTCTCAGTGAAAAGAGCCTATGCATAGCTTCTGTGAAGATAAAAACAACTTGGACTTCCCAGGCTCTCTGCTTCTCTATTTGTCAAACAGGATTACTCAATATATGATGGACTTCAGGGCAAGTGTTAGTCTCCTCTAATTCCTTGCTCTCCCCTCGTTCCTTACCCAGGAGAAGGGGTGTGATGGGGAGCTCACCAGCTGGGATCTGTCAGGAGCTTATATGTGGTACTGTTTTAATAATAGCAACATATTTGAAAAGAAGGGGTGGCCCCTGAGTCCTGCAGGAATTTTAAGGAGAACAGACCTAGGTGCAAAAATGGGTACAGAGACACAGCCACCTAGACTGAGTCCTTACATGGGGACTCCAATAAATAACTTCTCAGGCTACACAGAAGCATCATTGTGGGGGGGTGGCAGCAGAACTGAGGAGTTTAAATAACAGAAAAGCTCAGGGTTTTCTGCAGGGGGAAGGGTGACCCGCAATCCCAACCTTTTTCCGTTGTAGCTTCTGCTTTTCCCTGAATTCTTCCATTTTCCTGGCCTCTTCTCTCAGAGTCTGCGCAAGCTGAATGTGACACTGAGCCACATTGTCTACTTCTGCAAAAAGAATTTTTTAATAAAACAGTAATGAAGCTCTATATCTAATTCAGCTACACAAAATTCAACATGCATAGTCACAAAGGAATGAAAGCAAATATTAAAATCATTTGGTCACCAACATTTATTAAGCTCTTTCATGTGCCCAGCATTTCTCTGGCCACCAAAACCAAGGCTAGAAAGCCCTTATCTTAGCCTCCTACCACTAACTGTTACTAACCTAGCATATGGCCAGCGCTGGGGAAAAAAAAAACACAGCCAAGGGTGCAGCTCAGAAACCTGTATCCCAGGATACATTCCTAAAGCCATCATAATTTCAAAAGTGAGACTTCATTCTCTTTAGACAAAATCTTGGGATCCTTCTATCTCTAAAAGTTCAGGAGCCTGAACTTTTATTTTTTTTTTTATTTTTTTTTTTTATTTTTCTCCGGTAC